AATGTCTCATATCGAGAATATTTCACATTGAACATGAAGAAAAATTAATTATTTTTAATAATATGTAGAAATCTCCACTTTTACCTGAAGACGGTCGCGAGACCAGAAAACACGTGTCGTAAAATTATGTAAAACAAAGCATAATATTTTTCTAAATAAATCCACATTACAACCAAAAATGTTAGCGGCACCTCTTCTCTCTTTTTTTTTTATATATATATATATATATATATATATATATATATATATTTAATAATTATATTTATTAGACATATACTTAGTAGCACTGTTATATTACACCGAGCACTATTTTATTAACACTAGCACTCAATGTACGATGTCGTATATATATATATATATATGTGTGTGTGTGTGTGTGTGTGTTTTTATATATATATATATATATATATATATACTTGTATTTATGAACACACATACACAAATACACACACACACACACATATGTATATATATATTCAAGAGAAAATATGGAAAAATAAAGTATAATATATAATTAAAAAATACACATTATAAACAGAAACGTTTGCAGTTTGTCTTTTTTAAAATATACACTTTTCTCTCGTTGGAACAACTGTAACCTCTCCCTGATATATATATATATATATATATATATATACGTTTGTATACACGGACATATATCATATTCAAGTACACACACGCACCAATATATATATATATATATATATATATATATATATATATATATGCCATTTTGTTCTATCAATCTGTTTTAATAGTCTGCCCTTATCTAGTGTGCATTTGCATGTATAGAGAGAGAGAGAGAGAGAAAGAAAGAGCAAAGAGAGAAAGGAAGAAAAAGAGTGAGTGTGTATGTGCGAGAGAGAGATAGAGAGAGGGAGAAATGTGTTAAGATAATCAAGAAGATTTTACTTGTATGTTTATGAGTCAAATCCTGTTTTCCACCTTTTTCTTATTCCTTATATTTTTTTCTCTCAGACTTGGTCATTCTTGCGGACAAACTGCAAAAGCCCACAATGAAAAATGACCTCCGTTCTGACATCATTACTTTTCCAAACATCAACCGGCAATGATGTTCCACACTACGAAATGGATAAAAAAAAATACGATAAAAATAAAGCAAATATATTGTCATCTAATATAATTTTTCTTGCCTATATTTTCTATCTCGCCTACATAATTAGCATTATCATGGGCAAAAATGATTATCTTATCGACATTAATTTTTTTTTCTCACTGTTAATAAAATTGGCGCAGTTTGGGAGAAAATGAGAAGTAAAGCAAAAAAAAACAAAAAACAAAAAAAGAAACAAACAAAAAACCTCATAACGAACAAAAGACAAAAAGAAAAGAAATTGTCGCAAACTTCGTCCATTTACAACAGGTCTTCACTAGTGCGTTACTGTGAATAGCTTGTTGGACTAATTTGTCATTTCCGGATAAGAGATTTTCAACCGGAAGTCAAAGTTTAATAGGCGTTTCTGAGTATAAAAAATGTGCGTAGTGATTGTGATTGTTTGTGTAAATTGATTTTTCTGAGTAACTTAAAAAAATGTTTGCTCTTCACCGATGTCCATTATTTGTTGAAAAATTAACAATGACGAATCCGATGCATAATTGGAGACGAAAAACATGAGTTTTTTCTATCAATATCTATCTATCTATCTATCTATCTATCTATCTATCTATATATATATATATATATATATATATATATATATATATATGCGACACAATGAGAACGAAAGTAATATATAAATTAATTCAAAAAGGGCTCGATACCGATAGTAGAACTGAATAATAATAATAATAATTATATATATATATATATATATATATATATATATATATATTTATATATATATATATATATTTATATATATATATATATGTTTATATATATATATATATATATATATATATATATATATATATATATAAAAACTGTGCTTAGAGGAAAAAATACAAATAATTACTTTTATAGAACAAATCAAACTACTACATAAGAAAAATGAAATAGCGGGTTGGTGCCGACATATAAACAAATGTTTACTTTTGCATTTAAGTATTCATTGAAAAAATAACTCAAAACAATCTATCTATCCATCTACTATCTATCTATCAAAATAGATAGATAAATAGTGTTGATCTATCTATCTATCTATCTATCTATCTATCTATCTATCTATCTATATAAACTAGGCTTAGGGGAAAATATAGATAGTTACTTTTAGAGAGCAAAACAACCTACTAAATAAGAAAAATGAAATAACTGGCAAGTGCAGACATATAAACAAATATTTACTTTGACATTAAGTATTTATTAAAAATTAACCCAAAACAATATATATATATATATATATGTGTGTGTGTGTGTGTGTGTGTGTGTGTATGTGTGTGTGTGTGTGTGCGTGCGCCTGTGTATGTGTGTGTGTGTATATATATGTGTGTGTGCATGATAAAAATATAATTTCAAGGTATGCTATATTGATGCTTGATGTCAAGGATAGAGCGTATGTAAATATAAACTGGGCATTCTGGTCAACATTCAGCGACGACAGTCTGTTTCATGCTTAAACGTAATAGTTTCAATATGAAACCGCAAGGTGGTGATTCCAATCTCCACTTTTATATTTATGTTATAATCTAACCTTCCATAATTATTACGCTAATATTTAAGATTCCACCAGCTCAGGTAAAGTTAAAAAAAAAAAAACAATTAAAAGAAAAATAAATAAAATGGGTTATATGTATATTTCCCTAATAATCGTAACTTAGGAAAATTCCAGGCTATTTGAGAAAACGAATTGCCCTAAAAAAAAAAAAATTAAAAAAAAAGTTCTGTCTGTGATACAGGAAATGACATTGTTATATTATCTTTGACAGTCTGAGATGAAAGAGAAAAGGAAAGAAAAGAAATGAAGAGAAAGTCAGGAAAAATGATAAAAAAATAACCATTTCGCACATACACACACGCATACAAATATACGCTCCTACACACATACACGCACACACATATACGCACGCATACGCACACACACACACAGACCCACACAAATAGAAAAATCAACCTAAACCCAGTAATAAGATAGTCGCAACTAAATTATTTATTATTTCATATATTTATTTTATATTTTATACACACACACACACACACACACACACACACACACACACACATATATATATATATATATATATATATATATAAATAAACATGAATGATGCCAAATAGGTCGCGTTTCGGTAAAGGTTTGACGCAATCAGATGTCTAGCTACACTGACAAACTGTGTTACAGCGAAACAGGTATATATATATATATAATAAAATTATTGGTAATCCGTATGGAATTTCCAAGAGGATATAGAATCGTTGAGTAAAAGACAGAGTAAAAATTATTATATAATGACAAACACTTTAAAAACCATAGGTGATATTTTATTTCATTGAAGCCGATACAACACGGCTTCAAATCTTCAGAGCTGTAAACCAAATGAAATGAAATGGTTTATAGATCTGAAGATTTGGTCTTATTTTATATACTTCAATGAATAAAACATCACCTATGGTTTTTTGATTGTTTGTCATTATATATATATATATATATATATATATATATATATATATATATATATATATATATATATATATTCAAGTATAGGATTAATTTAGCATGAAGATAACAAAAAATGAGAAAAATGTCAGTCAATTGTTGAAGTCTCATGACGAGTGGATTGAACAATTACAAAAAATGTTCGTCTAGAAAACTCGAAGTACTGAACAAAGCATTTATCAACTAAGTGACAAATTTTATTTGCATTAATCATATATACAGGGTAACCATAAAGTTCGTGTGCACTTAAAAAAATTTATAACTTTATTTGTATTTGCGATAGAAATAATTTGTAAAAAGGATTAGAAAGAAGTAAATCTATATTTTTTAAGGTTTTATTGAAATTTTATTTAAGTTTCCACATGTCCTCCATCATTAGCAATACAAAGAGTAATACGATTTTGCAGTTCACGGAAAATATTTACCAACTGATTTACAGTAATGCCTGAAATCACATTAGTTATTTTAGCTATACTTAAAACTACGTACATTAAACTTTATAACATTTTTTACAGATTATTTCTATCGCAAATACAAATAAAGTTATAAAGTTTTTAAAGTGCACACGAACTTTATGGACACCCTGTAAATATATATATATATAATATATATATATATATATATATATATATATATATATATATAGCGGACAGAGAGTGCTGGTGGTAAGAAAAACAGTGCTCGAAGTAAAGCAACTGGGCTAAAATTTATAGAATAAATATACATTTGTTCCTCACCAAATGGTGAAAAAAATGTATATTTACTCATAATCTCTCTCTCTCTATCTATCTTTCTATTTTTCTCTCTCTCTCTCTCTCTCTATATATATATATATATATATATATATATATATATGTGTGTATGTGTGTATGTGTGTGTGTGTGTATCGATAGATTTTAGGCAGATGTGGAAATATCCATTTTTTCTCTCTATAAGTACGAACATACAAACACACATACACATGCATATAATTGAACACACACGCACACGCATACATATGTGCGTGTGTGTGTGTGTGCAAAATCCGGAAAAGGCTGAGTTGGGCTGTAGAAAGAAAATAAGGAAAGCCTCGTGAGAGAGACAAAGACATTAAATAATGATGTTGGAGCTCTTTTGAAATAAAAACAAATAAGTGCTTTGCTAGCAGGATGGACGGAAATGATTTGGCTTGACTCGGAAATGATGAATAAGGAGAACTGACAATAAGACCATTTGTATTTTGGAGGACATGAACGAAAACAATTTATAATGATAATAACAGCGAGTGAAAAAAAAAAAAGAAGGAAATCAATGTTTTTCTTTAGTTTCATTTTAAATTTTGTTTCATCGACTTTGTGCTTGTTCGGAGTTTTCTTTTCTCACATCCGCACACAGAAAATTTTCAAAATGGGTGACGTGATTTTATTGCTACATAGGTGCTTATCTATCTATCTATCTATCTATCTATCTATCTATCTATCTATCTATGTCACTCAGTTCATGCCTATCTATCTACTGCAGTCTGTTCATATCTATCTATCTATGTCACTCAGTTCATATCTATCTATCTATCTATCTATCTATCTATCTATCTATGTCACTCAGTTCATGTCTGTCTATCGCAGTCTGTTCATATCTATCTATCTATCTATCTATCTATCTATCTATCTATCTATCTATCTATCTATCTATCTATGTCACTCAGTTCATGTCTATCTATATATCGCAGTCTGTTCATTATCTATCTATCTATCTATCTATCTATCTATCTATCTATCTATCTATCTATCTATGTCACTCAGTTCATATCTATCTATCTATCTATCTATCTATCTATCTATCTACTATCTATCTATGTCACTCAGTTCATGTCTGTCTATCGCAGTCTGTTCATATCTATCTATCTATCTATCTATCTATCTATCTATCTATCTATCTATGTCACTCAGTTCATGCCTATCTATCTATCTATCTATCGCAATCTATTCATTATCTATCTATCTATCTATCTATCTATCTATCTATCTATCTATGTCAGTCAGTTCATGCCTATCTATCTATCTATCGCAGTCTGTTCATTATCTATCTATCTATCTATCTGTCTCAGTCTGCTGATTTAGCACAGGTATTTCTTTCTTTGGTTCTCACAGCCGAAAGAGAAACAAACTGAGAGTTAGATAGATAGATAGATAGAGAGAGAGAGAGAGAGAGAGAGAGAGAGAGAGAGAGAGAGAGAGAGAGAGAAATATAGAAGACAGAAAGGAAAGGAATAGTGAGAGAGTAGAGGAAGACCAGAATATTATAACAAGAAATAATCACTACATTTTACACATTTGCAGATACAAATACATGCAGGTGTACACACGCGTACATGCTGGTTTATACACACACTCGAACAACAACAAAAAGTGCATAATATTTTTTTTAACTTAATATAAAAATAACGAAAGAGAAAATCGGCAGACAGTAAGACCTGACACCTCCGGACGAGTGGAATGATTGATTACAAAAAGATTCGTTTCCGAAACTCTGGAGTCGGGGTGCTGAATAATCAGCTAAGTGCCAAATTTATAGTTGAATTAATCATATATATATATATATATATATATATATATATATATATATATATATATGCAAGTATATGATTGGTGTATAACGGAATAAATTCCAGTATTAAAAATACTATTCTTAAAAGAGTGCTCAATACAAAGTAGAGCAAATATAATTTATTCGAAAATTATAGCATAAATATATTATAAAATCACTACAAAAATAGCTATGGCTATTTTTGTAGTGATTTTGTGTACACCTGCATGTACGCGTGTGTACACCTACATGTACGCGTGTGTACACCTACATGTAGGTGTATCTGCACATGTGTAGATTGTCGTGATTATTTCTTGTTATCATAATATTCTTGTCTTCCTCTACTCTCTCACTATTCCTTCTCTTTCTCTCTCTCTCTCTCTCTCTCTCTCTCTCTCTCAGTTTCTTTCTCTTTCGGCTCTGAGAGCCAAAGAAAGAAATACCTGTACTAAATTACCAGACTGAGCTAGGTAGCTAGATAGATAGATAATGAACAGACTGCGATAGATAGATAGATAGATAGATAGATAGATAATGAACAGACTGAAATAGATAGATAAATAGAAACAGATTATGATAGATAGATAGATAGATAGATTTGAATTCAACAAAATCACTTGATAAGACACCAGAAGTGTTGAAGCAAAATGGCTATTTTTGTAGTGATTTTATTACATATTTGTATATATATATATATATATATATATATATATATATATATATATATATATATTAAAGACGAATGACAAGGTACTGCGATTAAACATTTTATTCAATTTTTGTTGCATTGTATGCTCTTTGTATGTATGCATGTTGGTTTATCAGGAAGGCGACTTCCTGATGTTATTGAAATGGATCGAGGTCGATCCCAGCATGCTGCACCTTTGGAAAGTGCCTGAAAACTATACCAGGTGTTGACCCAAAACCATGTGAATGAAATTGGGTAGGTGAAACCTTTGGGGACCATCGATAGCTGTGCTAGCACGAAGTCATAAGTCATTGTGGCCGAGGGCTTGAGCGTGCTGGCCTTGTTCAAATTGTTGATCACGCTAGATAACACACTCTTTCCCAGAAACTGTAACTAACGTCTGCTCACTTATAATTTCAGTATAAACCACAGGTGGACTCTGTAGGTGTTGAGCAAACACAAATGTGCCTGCAGGAGCGTCTGCAATAGGGATTGGCTAGCCGCCTAGTAGACGGGTATCCATGAATATGATTGGCCAGCTATTATTATTATGCATGCATGTATAAAACAGGACAAATATATATATATATATATATATATATATATATATATATATATATATATATATATATATAAGAAATATAGTACTTTGATTCAGTTTAATTCAAATAATTATATTGAAGTTTTCAGCTCTTGTTTTGAAACATGAGAACTCTTATGTAGCGTGTTGGAATCATATTTTTAAATAAATAATTATATTTATGCTCTACTTTTGTATCGAGCACTATTTTTAAAAAATAATAACAAAAATACTAAAGACCTTTGGATTATTTACCTAACCAGTTCCTTCCTATTTTCTATATATTTTTACACACACACACACACACACACACACACACATATATATATATATATATATAACAAAAAAAACAAGAACAAAAAAAACAAGAACAAAAAAAACAAAAACAAAAAAAGAGAAAGACATCTGGTGTCGCTAACATATCTGTTTCCAAATGCGTAGTTTGTGACCCAGCTAAGGTCATCAAAAGCGAGATATATCTTGAGATCTATATTGAATATATTATAACACCAGTTAGGCTCCCGTCTGCAGCTGCTATTTAATTGGGGTAAAGTCTTTTCCAGCTTAAAGTCTTGAGCTCACAGGATTTTATTAGAATGTAAAACTACTATCACATATAGATATGACGGAAAAGAACGTGCTCATGCATATAAATACACCGTACTATTAAAAGCATCGACAAAAGGATGCAAGAGCGTCCAGTCAGAAACCTTTGCAATTCTTTTTTCTATTTATGTGCCATGTCCTTTCATGACATAGGTGATCATGGCTCTCCACCTTCTATCCCTTGCAGCTCTCAACAAGTTCCTTCCCTCTGCTTCCTCCTCCAGACCGTGTTCTGTCATCCACTTGCTTAAACACGCTAGGTATGTAACGCGTTGTTTTCCTTTGTCTCTCTTTCCCTCTATTCGACCTGTGAGTATCAGATTCTCTAGGCCCTCCCTTCTCATTACGTATCACAGAAATTTCATCTGTCTCTTCCTGATATTAAGTATAAGCCTTCTCGTTGTCTACAACCTCTCTAAGACCACATCGTTGCTCACACGCTCGGTCCATGATATCCTCAGTATCCTTCTGTAGAACCACGTCTATGTCGCTTTGAGTCTCTTCTTCATCTTTGAGGAAATCGTCCAACATTCGCTGCCGTAAAGAAGGACAGATGTCACGTAAAAGCTCAGAATTCTTTTCTTTGTTACCAAAGAAATCCTGCTGTCTCGCAATACTCTGCCCAGCTTTTGGAATGCGTCCTTGGCCATCCCAATACGTCTACGGATCTCAGTGTCGCACTTACAGTCTTTGTGCTCGAATTGGAAAATACAACAATAAAATGGCTGGTTGAGTTTCTATACCCTCCCACTCGAGACTGACAAATGGTGTGATTTGAACACGGGACTCACGGTTAAAATGCCAACGTTCTATCCACTCGGCCACATGCCAGTGCACTTATAATGGCAATCATATTGACATATAATCCAACAATTGTTATTTTTTGTTTTCTTTTTAGAATAAGACGTACCTGATTTGATCAAATATGCCACCAGTAATGGCGGTCATGTTAAAGGCTGTTCTTGTTGTTCTTCAGATGCTATCTATTCCCCCCGCCTTGGCTGCGTGTTCTCTGGGGATGATTCTATGATAGAACGAGACCATTTAGTTGAAAATTCAGATAAAAGGAATAAATAAAACTAAACGCTAAATGAAGATAAATAAATGGGAGGGAAATACACAAGTAAAATCCCTGGTAACACTAAAAATCGAAAAGGTTCAGAAGATCATTTTCAAATATATTGAGGAGATTTCTATCTCTCAAATAAACGCAGCACATAATTATATCCAACGTCCAACGAATGGACTCGATTCTAGGAGTGAAAAAAGAGACTGAATAATAATAATAATGATGATGTTGATGATGATGATGGCCGAGTGGTTTGACGTTCTTTTGGTGAACATGATACACGGGTTCGAATCGCATCAGGGTCGATTTGCCAGAAAGGTGACCTTTTGATGTTATCGGTCTAGGAGAGGCAATCCTAGTGTGCGGCCCCTTTGGAAAGTTCCTGAAAACCCATACCACGAGTTGACCCAAGCCTTGTGAGTAAAACTGTGTAGACGGAACTCTTTGGGAGCTGTCGATGTTTGCGCTATCACGAAGTCACATGCCATCGTGACCGAGGGCGTGAACGTGTCAAACTGTTGATCACACTAGATAACGCGCCCTAAACCCCAAAACTGTAACTAAGTTTCACTTAGTATAGATGCAATATGAGTCAAAGATAGGCTCTGTTGGAGTTTAACAAGTACAAACGTGCCTGAGCAGGAGTCTGCAACAGGGATTTGCTATCCGCCTTAATTTAAATTTTTTTAATAATAATAATGATAATAAGGTACTTGCATTCACTGCTCTTATTATCTAAGAATGAGAAAAATAAGTCCATGGTAGTCTTGAATGCAATCGCCCTGACGTCACACTTGTGCACATGAGGAGCCATGAATGGATCCTTGGGATAAAAACACTGTGAAGACGGAGAAGGGGAAAATACAGAGGTACCAAGACCTAGCAGGGAAAATACAGAGGTACCAAGACCTAGCAGGGAAAATCAGCGAAAAGTACCAATGCTCATGTTGTTTCTTTTATGGTTGGCACATTGGAGACTATTTCCAATAGTCATTCTGTCTTGTATGACACTTTGGGGATACGTGACATCCTCGTGAATGTTCAGATGGTATCGCTGCATGGAAAAGCTAGCTTACTGAGTTAAGTGTTGTCTCTGTGAATAGGATACGACCCGAGATATGACCATTTTCACTCGGCCTAATTTATTAAAAATGCACATAATTTTGATACAAGGAAAATGGTGTCTCTTTATTGTGTCCTAATTAACCGGAACTCATATAAGAAAAAGGTTTTTATATATATATATATATATATATATATATATATATATGTGTGTGTGTGTGTGTGTGTGTGAATATATATATGTGTGTGTGAATATATATATATATATATATATATATATATATATATATATATACTAGCAGTAGAGTCCGGCGTTGCCCGGGGATGTAACAGTAAGAGATAGATCAAGTATCGACCATCATAAAGACTGAAAAATAAAATTGACAAAGATTATTGTTTAAGGTTGACGGACACGCATGTCTTAATTAGTTTTTTTTTTTTTTTTGTTTTTTATGAATTGGTCAAACCCAAACTCAAACAAAAACATTGTTTTTCAATCGTTATAAGTCTACCGATTGAATAGA